AATGGATCATTAGCACCCTGATGGCTGTTTACTATTCACGGGGGTTGAGTGATACTAGCAATAACAGCATTGTAAGAGGGGGACAGTTGAACACGGAGGCCTCCACCTCTGTTTAATGATGGACGATTTCTTTTCACAAAGATGGCCTCCTTTACTCCTCTGTCAAACCATTGTTCCTCTCTGTCCAGGATGTGAACATCTTCATCCCTGAAAGAGTGACCGCTGGCCTGGAGATGAGTGTAGACCTCAGAATCCTGGCCTGATGATGTTGATCTTCTGTGCTGGGCCATCCTTTTGGCCAGTGGCTGTTTAGTTTCCCCGGTGTAAGACTGATCACAGCCCTCCTGACACTGAACAGCATACACAATATTACTCCGTTTGTGCCGGGGGACTGGATCTTTGGGATGAACCAGTCTTTGCCGTAATGTATTCTGGGGTTTAAAAGCCACTGGGACGTTATGTTTAGAAAATAAACGTCTCAGTCTCTCTGATACTCCCTCAACATATGGAATGACCACTGGTCTGGGTCTGGGTTCCTCCTTTTCACCTGTTGGCTGACTGAAGTCCTGTTTGGGTTTCTTCTCTGCTTTCAGGAAGGCCCAGTTAGGATATCCACATTGCTCTAGAGCCTGTCTTGTGTGGGATTTCTCCTTCTGCCTAGCTCCTGAGCTAGTGGGGATGCTGTCTGCTCTGTGATACAGAGTCCTGATGACTCCTAACTTGTGCTCCAAAGGGTGATGGGAGTCAAACTGCAAGTACTGGTCTGTGTGGGTGGGTTTGTGGTACACCTCAGTTTGAAAATGTCCTCTATCAGAGACTGAGACCTCACAGTCCAAGAAAGTCAACCTGCCATTTTTTACATCTTCTCGTGTGAGCTTGATGCATTTATCCACAGAGTTGATGTGGTCAGTAAAATGTGCATTGAGCATGCATCAGGATATTTTTGAACATGATGTTCGTGATGAACAAACCATGACTAGCACAGAAGACCAACAACAGAACAACACTCGGGTTCAGATCAGAGAGGTTGTTCCTACCAATTACATCCCTTCAGGTCACACTGTCATTACACATGTGGGCATTGAAGTCCCCCAGCAGAATAAAGGAGTCCCTAGATGGCACACCTTCCAGCACCCCAGCTAAGGACTCCAAGAAGGCCGGTTACTCTGAACTGTCGTTGGGCGCATAGGCATAAACAACCATCAGAGCCTATACCCACACCCGAAGGCGCAGGGAAGCTACCCTCTCATCTACTGGGGAAAACTCCCAACACACAGGCACCAAGTCGGGGACTAAGAGTAGACCCACACCAGCTCGGCACCTCTCACCATGGGCAACTCCAGAGTGGAATAGGGTCCAGCATCTCTCAAGAAGACCGGTTCTGGAGCCCATGCCATGCGTCAAGGTGTGCCTAACTATATATATATATATATATATATATAT